GGAAGGAGGGGGTTAATGGGAGTTGACCAACTGCACAAAGTGTAATGGGGCTCACCGAGGGGAGTTATTCATACGACTACCCACAGCTTCTGCTGGGATCAACAAACAACAACGTACCTGCCCGGACAGTTGACCGGAGGCACTATTACAAATCAACGAAAAAGAGCTTATTCGCACTAGGTGTATTTAATCGGGACGCATCACGCCATCACATTCTCGGGATTGACTGTATGAGAAACGGACCTCGGGTCCTGCTGGAAAGCAATCTTTTTATTTGAGCACAAGCGAATGCAGGAAATCAAAGGAAGAAATCGCATGCCCAAATACAGTCAATCTCCTGAGATGTCACACCCCTCAGAATTTTCATTTTCCAATATCTTCCCACATTTTGGAAAACCCAAGCCAACCGTATGCGTAATAACACGGTTTCTGACTACGCACTGTTGCCCCTCTCAATATGTTGCAGTTCCTGATACCCACTCACTTGGTCACTGATCGATTTTCGGGACGGCCACCGACCAATCAACCAGTAATTTCGCAGTCAGCCAATGGCGTTTCACCTAGTGCGTATTGGCTAATCTTTGCGAGGAGGACACACCGATACTAAAATCGAAGACAGTATCACTTGACTTCAAACTGTGCAAGCGCTTATCGACCAAAATGTGTTAGAAATGCTGAATCAGACTAGTACGATTCAGAGCTCCGTAGCCGAATTACTTAGTAGTTCAAGAAAAACTGTTTACAGTGTTATATTCCATCGAACTACCCCATGGCCGAGAAAAGCATTTGTAAGAAGGCAATCCAGCTAGCACAAAGAATGCATTATCGTGACCTCAAGGTTTCCACAGGTCGGTTTCGCTTTTGGACAGACAGATGTGTTGTTCAATCTTACAAAGTGAGAGAAAGGCAACTAATCATACACATTACTTTATAGGTTTGTGGGGAATGTTTGGGGGTACGATGTGATGTAATGGACGAGTTTCGAGCGCGGTTACCGCAGTTGATCCATGGGTACGCTGATTGTGATATTTTCAATACATATGAAAAAGCTTTGTATTACAAGTAGCTCCCAGAAAGAACATCAGGTCTCAAAAGAAAAAAGTTTCTGTATCTAACAGATATTTCACTAATTTTAGATGTGATTTCCTACGAATGTGAATTCTTGTCCCATTTTCTCACTGTGTTCGACCTGGTTCATTCTTGTTTTCATCGAATGGGTTTATATTGATGTCGTGATTATTATAACTAACAAAGTTGTATAATATGGTGGACGCCATATACGCAATTTTGTAGTTAGCCTAATATTACAAAGGAATAGAGGGATATCTGGAATCAATATACGGTAATTGGGTTAGAGAAGATTCCCCTGCAGAAACGTAGGTAGTTTCGAGATGAATAGACCCTTGAAGGTGAAAGAGGGCTGAATACCGAATGTAATATACTCATATTAGGTTGAGGGCATCATAAACAATTCCAATTTCTTCGATACATAAAAAATATAGAGGATCCTTTATCTAAATTCCGTTATGAATAAATAGTACATAGTTATAAACATTGGAAACAAGCAACGGAATTAACGTAATTTTCAGCGATTCAGTTTATTTTGTCACAAAACTCCCAACCGATTTTTTATGCTACTTAATAGTTCCAACTACTGACTAACATACTATGTCGCAGTTCCTGGAATTTACCCACTTTTCGGATTCCCGAGGGGTGCGAAAAAGCAGGAGATTGACTTCATGATGTGTGCACACATCATACATCCTTTAACATAGATGAAACCTTAAATATAATTATTGTAGGGCTTTCGAACAAGGTCACAAAAAGAACTATTGTCTTTTGAACATGAAGCTTTAAAACCAAACACGTAACGTAGCGTGAAATTTTGCAACGTATGTTACTGCTCATCACCCATGTGTTTGGGCTTCGATCGCATCTGAATGCTTTCGGTTGTTCTCGAACCTGGTTTCAGCATTAGCAAGTGGTTTTCGTTGAAACCTTTTGATACTTTTCCGGGAGATAGATTGCACTCACAATTCGCACTGTATTCCTGTTGTTTGATTTGACGCAATAATCAGCCAAAAAGCGAAAATAACGCACTCATCTATTTGGATCCACTTACCCGTACGGTTGCCAAACCTCTTCCAATTTCAGCCATGTACGTGCATGCGAGATCGCGTCTGTGGGCCGGTGAACTGTACCAGAGGTTTTGCACACCCCGAACGATGTGCGTAGCAGAAGAAACAAGTCCAGACTGGTTTGAAGCATGGTTCGATCCAACCATTGTTTACTAGTCACGTTCACCACCAAACAGGGGTCTGTGTTCGTGTGACAGTACGGGGCACCGAGAAAAGACAGAAAGTGGTAACCAGGACATCAGGCGTGTGCAAAAGTAATGTTTCATGCTTGCCTGTACGCACGCACACCCACCCACACGGGCGCTTCATTGCCAGTAAACTCTTCACGTGTTCTACTTTGAGGGATGTTTAATATAATCGAATGTCCATGATATGAGGCATTTACGTGCATGAGTGATGTGACTCACATGAAAAGCGTTAAACGGGTGTGCGCGTTAACAACAATGAGGCATTGATGTTTGTTGTATCCGGTATGAGTCAGTAAGTACGCAAGTAGTGAATTAAGTAGTAATTATATTTCCAGTATGTAAACGCAAACGTAGCCGGTCCGTAAACCGGTGAGCAAGCAGTGCGTCAACACGCAGACAGGCAGGCACAGAACTGGCGCAAGTCTTACCAAAAGGAATGTCATCATGCTGGGCAGTCAACGAACCAATCAATGAGGAGAGATCAATACTGACCTCTGATTCACTGAGGTGGATCGACCTTGTAACAGGGTAAGTCCGCATGACGTGCGTCCGTGCGTGTGGTGGCAGGCCGCAACGGTCAATCATGTGATGATGAACGGTAAACGTTTCACTCGACCGCAGGCCACAACAATGTTATTGCATAATTCAATCACTGTTTATCGGCTCCAGCGTTCAACTACTAGGGTTATGGTGAGCGTGAAGTCGAGAACGGGGCAAGGGATGAAACCAACAGTGAAGGTGGATTCTAAGTTGTTGTTTGAGCTGAAAGGCCGTCCAAATAGTGTTTATCAATACGTTCCAGTTATCCTCCCGGGGATCACCTAGCATAGACCGTGAACGTATACAGACAGAATGATAGTTATGTCAATAAACCATACGTTTTACGTCTTATTCATAGGGTCTTTTTACTTCAACCAGTTGAGCCCTGTCACAATTTGGTGTTGAGTCCGGATTTCTTTAAATTTTTTTATTTGTGTACAATAAATAAGGAGTATTGATTCTTGATTCTCTTTTCATATAGAGTTTTAAGGAGGAAAGTTGGTGACTGTTCACGATCGATTGTCCACATACCTTTACCATTACAACAAACGTCGTTATACTTGATTGTTTAACACATGTACACAACAGCCAGAGAAATGTTATGCATTGTGCAACTTCACATGCACGCCAGGAAACACGTTGGTTCGAAATAACTCTAGTGCTAAGGCCAAAAAGAACATAAACGGTTTGATTTAAGTTACTTAAGGGCAGACAAGGTGTGAATTGAAAAGCTGGTAAACACTGAAATCGTTGTTTTGAACTTTTTTTGGATTCAGTCAATAGTGAGAAGCCGCAAAACGCAACGCTGGATTGATTGAATCCGGAATATCACAGCTACAACATAGGTTTACTACCCATTCAACCAGCGATTCAAAATGTTTTACACTGTATAAACATGATGTTCCATAATTGAATTTTTCCAGCCTCTATCCAAAATCTTGCTTTACACATCTCAGAAATATCTCAAAAGGGTGTGAAAGCTTTACAGTGGATCCCGAGGTCACCTGGTCATGTTTTGAGTGCTATGTATAGTTGATGTGTTGTTCCTTGCAGAATCATAGGCGGAGGCGTTAAACGTATTCCAAAGCTTGAATAACGCCCGTCCAAATATAAAGTTGACAATGGAACGTGAAGAAAATGATACCTTGTCCTTCCTGGATGCAAAAATGCAAGGAGGACCGATGGAAGCCTTAGTCGATCGGCTCATCGAAAACACACGTGGACGGGTCAATATCTGCATTTCACCAGCAGATGAAAGGCTAAAACTGAATACCACTCTCCAGGACAATGGTTACCCGAGCTCATTCGTGAAAAAGTATAGCATTGCTCGTCCAAAGGTAGAGCGACCGATATCCGTACCGAAGTGTAAGATTGTCCTACAACTACCGTTCAAAGGTGATGATGTCAGTAATTTGTTGGAGCTCCGTCTAAGCTCGTCCATCAAACAAACATTCAACACAGCCGAAACAGTTTTCGTCTACACATGACAGAATACCGGCTCCTCCAGTCAGGCAACCGATTCCGCAGTAATCCAACTCCCATCAATTGTACCAATTCGTCTAGGCAGAACCGAGCG